CCTTCCCCCCTCCTCCTCTTCTTCCTCTCTTCCTTCTCTTCTTCTTCTTCCTCCTCCCCTTCCTCCTCCTCCTCCTCCTTCCTCCTCCTCCTCCCCTTCTTCCTTTGTTATAAGCTGCCTAGAGAGATAAGCGGCAAATAAATTTAACAAATAAAAATAAATACACAAATAAATTTCTGGAGAACAAAATGGCCCTGTGCGTATCTCCCTCAAGGATGCAGTCAATCATCTTGAATCCAATCCCATAAAACACACACACACACACACACACACACACACACACACACACATTTGAGCAGAGCAAAGGTCAAGGTTCCAGGGGGGAATAGGAATGGAGTTGAGGCTGCCATCGGCACAAGGGTTAATCGTCCCTTCTTTGAGGGAAGTGACAGGCACCCACAAAGAGAGAAAGAGATGCTGGCGGATTTCAGCCCTGGGTGTGGGTGTTTCTTCTACTTTCCCATCACTTGTCAGTGAGGGGTTCAGACTGACAGCCCGCTCTTGGCAGCTACTTCAACTCTGATTTAGAAACTGACAAGGGAGTGTTTTGGAGAGCCGCTGTCATGTTTTTTTCCGGTTCCCTGCAAAGCATAGAAATAATCCAATCATCTTCAGGAAGGCATCGGGTTGTGCTATGTATGCAGGGGCAACTGTGATAAAACAACAGTCTTCCACAGACAAATCTTTTTATTCACATTGTGCCAGAGACGGGACAAAACAATGTCATTGTGTAGCATTTGTGTAATGGTGGCAAAGTAATGCAGAATACTCGCACACTGTTCCTTTGGGCTCCAGGAACTCTGAGGGAGCCATAGAACATAGAATAATCAAGTTGGAAGGGACCTCAAAGGTCATCTAGTCCTGCCCCCCCTGCTAGAACAGGAGGCCCTATATATCATTCCAGACAAAGAGGTAATCCAGTCTCTTTTTGAAAGCCTTCAAGGATGGAGCAGCCACAACTTCTGAAGGCAAGCTATTCCTTTGGCTGATTGCTCTCACCCTTAAGAAATTTCTCCTTAGTTCTAAGTTGCTTCTCTCCTTGGTTAGTAGAATAGGGATAGGGATAGAATTAGGAATAGAATGGAATGAGGAATGAGGAATAAGGAAAGGAATAAGAATAAGAATTTGGAATAGAATTAGAATTAGGAATAGAATGGAATTAGGAATAAGGAATAAGGAATAAGGAAAAGAATAAGAATGAGAATCAGGAATAGAATAGAATAAGAACTAGAACTAGAATTAAAACTAGAATTAGGAATAGAATTAGGAATAGAATTAGGAATAGAATTAGGAATAGAATGGAATGAGGAATTAGGAATAAGGAAAGGAATAAGAATTAGGAATAGAATTAGAATTCGGAATAGAATGGAATTAGGAATAAAGAATAAGGAAAAGAATAAGAATGAGAATCAGGAATAGAATAGAACTAGAATTAAAACTAGAATTAGGAATAGAATTAGGAATAGAATGGAATTAGGAATAAGGAAAAGAAAAGAATTAGGAATAAGGAAAAGAAAAGAATTAGGAATGGAATGGAATAGAATGGAATAGAATAGAATAGAATAGAATAGAATAGAATAGAATAGAATAGAATAGAATAGAATAGAATAAAATGGGACCTTGGAGGTCTTCTAGTCCAGCCCACTGCTCAAGCAGGAAAAAAAACTATACGATTTCAGATAAGTGGCTGTCTAGTCATTTGCAGAGTGTTCAATGCTCCCGAGTTGCTTGATCATCAAATTAGTGCCAGAAAACCATATGCCATCCTCCATGAGTATTTCTTTAAAATCCCCTTTTGTCCCTTCCAAGCAAAATTTGGAATTGAGAGAACAGTAGGAGTTTAAAAAAACCCAGACAAAACAGGAGAATTTTTGTTTCTGGGGCTAGCTAAACATGACAGAGGGGTGGACAGAGAGTGGAAACGTTTCCACGAAGTCATTATGGAAGCTACTAATGATTCCATCGGCTTCTAAGCACACATTATTCTGCAGTCTGGAAGTCTGGCACCCCCATTGAGAAGGTCCCTCCCTGCCTGTAGTTGCTTCCACACTTCCTTTACCAGCATCGAGCTGGCAGCAAGACCACCCTGCAGGACCTGGCTGCCTATCAGCTTTCTGTCCCCTGCTAGATCATTCTCTCCCTTTGCTCCCCTGTCCCTTAATTTTAAAGGGATTGTTCTGACCTAGGCGTCCCCAAAAACCACTAAGCAGACTTTTTGTCCCGGCAAAACCCCTTTTATTAAATGCATGTGAATTTCACACGTTCACCTTCAGCCTAAGGCCTGGCAAACAGTCTGTCAAGGGTCTAATTAGGAGCACAGACCTTATCTAGCTTGGAGAGCTGCCAAGTAAATATTTTCAAACGCAGTGCTGACAAGGAAGGACACAGCACAGAGTCTCTGAGATGCACAGGCAGATCTTCACACTGCTACAAGGAACAAATTGTTTCCTGCAAAAGCCCCCTGCCCCTTCGCTCCTCTTTTAATCCCTATGGGAGGGGCCATTCGCCGTCCACCTGTGGCTTTACTTCCACGTCGACCCTGAGTTTGTAATTGTCCTTTCCTTTTGGCAGCTCTGCACATGCGCAGACTGGGAACCGGCTGTAGCTGCTCCCCTGTCTCACTGCTGTCTAACTGAGAAGGCAGCTGATAATTGCCAGCCTACCTAGGCCCCATCTCTGCCTCTGATGCAGAGCCCTCGTCTGAGCCTTCCTCATCCTCCAGGACTGGCCCAGGTTCCTCCCCAAACCCCTCACTACTGTCCAACTCTGCTGCCAGTTCCATCAGCTGCCGGCACACCACAATAGGGTGTTAAGACACCTTGCTGTTTCCTCCAAACACGATGCCTGCTAATGAGATTCTGGTTGTTGCTGTAGCATCCTCTGTTTTTCTTCTCCAAAGGTGATGAAGCTGAGGAAGCTAGCCCAACAGGTAGCCAACTGCAGGCAGTGCCTGGAGAGGTCCACGGTCCTCATCAACCAAGCTGAGCACATCTTGAAAGAAAGCGACCATGCGCGGTTCCTGCAAACAGCGAAGAATGTGGCAGAAAGGTACCACACCAAAGATAAAGGGTGTTGTCATTTCACTATGGTGTTGTTTATGCTAAAAGTTCTGAGGGGGCCAGCTGCTGACTTCCCAAGGAACCCTTATCCCAGCTTTTATAAGTTCCTGAATGTCCATGGAGATTCTCCGTCATCCAAGTCATGGTTGTCCCAAAGGTACTTTTTCAAGAGGCAGCTGGACTTTCAGGTTTTTATTTGAAGATATTTCTCATCCAAGAAGCTTTTTCAGCTCTGACTGGATGGTGGGGAATGGAAGGATGTATGCTCCTTGCAGGCAGCTGGTCATTTGCATCCTTTTAGACAGTCATTGAGGCCACTTGGAGGTTTGTCTGTGTCGTCAGGGTCACCTGAGTAATGCAAATGGGTGTGGAGCCTTCTTGGAACTGCTGAAAGGACCGTAGACTGGAGATAGAAGATATTGTATCCCTTCCCTTCTGTTGAGGGAGGGCAGAGAGGACCCCCTGGTTTGGAAAAGGGGTCAAAGAGTCCACCTAGGTCAGAACTGAACAGCCCCCTCTCAACATCTTCTATCTACAACACCGTCCTTTCAACAGTTCCAAGAAGGCTCCACATCCATTTGCACCACTCGGGTGACCCTGAGGACACAGACAAACATCCAAGTGGCCTCAATGACTCGCTAAAAGAATGCAAATGACCAGCTGTCTGCAAGGAGCGTCAATCCTTCCATTCCTTACTATCCAGTCAGAGCTGAAGAAGCTTCTGGGATGAGAAGCAAAAGGTCTTCAAAGAAAAAAACCAAGAAAGTCCAGTGGCCTCTTGAAAAAAGCACCTTTGGGGATAAGTTCCTGAGTATTCCTTGAGTAGCATCGCAACAAAGGCCATACAAGGCAGCTGACTTGTCATTGTGTTTGACAAGGCTCAGAGATGCTGCAAGACGAAAGCTCTTAAACCTCGTGGAGCTCTTTCCCTCCAAGTACGGCTCAAAAGCTTGAAAGAGGTTTTTCCATCTACAAGAGAAATCAAGCAGCCTGTTCAGAAGTCTGTGCAAAACTTTGGATTCTATTTCAAACAACACAGATGTGTTATTTTTTTCCCTGGATGTCCACAAAAAATATATATATATATATTCAGTGCATCCTGAAGATTTCTAGAGAAAGGACAGGTCCTGGACTTTAAACCCCGCGTGACAGGAAGCATCAGTAGTATGAATCCCACTATTCATTCGTCTTCCTCAAGAGAAATCTTTTCGGAGCACCCACATCCAGTGACTCATTCGCGTGAAGTGAAAAGTTGGAGAGAGGAGTTTGCAGAGCTGTTGTCAGTTCCTAGTGAGGAAGGGAGAAGAAAGAACCAAGGGGGGAACTTTCATGGAAGAAGGGAAGTGTAGACCTAGAGTAGGAGTCTCCAAATTTGGCAACTTGAAGTCCACAAGCCTTAAAGTTGCCAAGTTTGGAGAGACCTGTGACCTAGGGAAAGAAGAACTGACCCAAGGTCCAAAAATAGGAAGGAGAGACTTAATTGGCAGCCACACTAGACCACTAATACCCATATGCCACATGATACGTCCCACAGGTTGCATAATCTGAAATCAACCAATAAATCAGAATAGAGCTGGAAAGGATTTTGGAGGTCTTGTTGGAGAGCAGGAGGCCCTATACCATTTCCGATAGGTGGTTGTCTAGTGATGAAGCACTTGCAAACTTCTACTATTTGATGTTTGGATATTTTTAAATATTTCATATTTTTAAATATATTTAAAGGAAGCAGGAAACCCCGTACTATTTGAGCCAAAGTGGCTGTCCAGTCTCTTCTTAAAACCCTCCAGTGATGAAGTACCCACAACTTCTGAAGTTCCTCTGGTTAATTGTCCTCACTGTTTCTCCTTAATTCCAGGTTGCTTCTCTCCAGTGGTGGGATTCAGCCAGTTTGCACCAGTTGGGGAGAGCCGGTTGTTAACTTTCTGTGCAGTTTGGTGAACTGGTTGTTGGAAGAAACCATGAGGGCAGAGAAACGGTTGTTAAATTATTTGAATCCCACCACTGCTTCTCTCCTTGATTAGTTTCCATCCATTGTTTCTTGTCCTGCCCTCCGGTGCTTTGGAGAACAGTTTGACCCCCTCAAATACTGGAATACTGGTATCATGTCACCACTGGTCGTTATTTTCTCCAAACTAGCCATCTAGTCTAGAGAAATCTTCCCAAACAAGACATTTTTTCACCCTTTGGGCTTGCTTTGAAATGGATCTCACTCCATCTTCCAAGCACGTTCATTCTCGAAACAAGCCAACATCAAGCAACACGTAGCCATTATGCAATGGCATTACATAAAGATCAGTATTAGAGGCCAGGGGCGCTATCCAGGGGTGGGATTCAAATTTTTTAACAACTGGTTCTGTGGGCGTGGCTTAGTTGGTGGGCATGGCTTGGTGGTCATGTGACTGGGTGGGTGTGGCTTGGTGGTCATGTTATTGGCTGGGCGTGGCCAATTCAATATCACTCACATCGAGGCACGCATCTCCTCGCCTGGCCTCTCATGACTGTGGGGATGCTGCAACAGTCGTTAAGTGTGAAAAATGGTCATAAGTCGCTTTTTTCAGTGCCATTGTAACTTTGAATGGTCACTCCACACAAGCAAAGTACCAGCAAAGGAGGGGGGAAAAAACTCCAGAGAAGTTCCTGAGACAGGAAGTCCAGTCCTGCCAAGAATGTAATAAGGGTTAACGGAGAAGCAGTTTCTGTAAGCAACACCAGAATGTTTCGTTCCTGCCTTCCTTACAGGATTAGGCCAGTAATTTCTTCTAGCAACCGGTTCTCCGAACTGCTTAGAATGTTAACAACTGGCTCTAGCGAATAGGTGCGAACTGGTAGAATCCCACCCCTGAAGCTATCCTGGCCTTTATACACTGATACATAACTTTAATCATTAATTCAGTTGTATTCAGTTAATGTATTCCAACCCTCCTTTCAGGCAAGTAGCTCTTGCTGAGATGAATGATCTGTTTGCTGATTAGTAATACTGTCCCTGTTTTGATGTTTTTAACTTCGACTTCTGCTGTATATTTCTTGGAGCCATTTTGGAGCTCAGCTGCATAGAAATAACAGCAATATGTAAATAATAAATGAAGGAATGAAATAATGAACTGGCTTAGGTGGATCCGAATTCCCTCCTCCAGCTTCCAGACTTCTTATCTTGCCGAGACCACAGAGGTCTTGCTCTCCAAATTTAGGGATGTCTCCATCACCTCATCCTACTGGTCTCCCTCTCTCTCATTCTCTCCCCTTCCCCTTCCCCAGCCACTGCCCTCCCCCGCCCCTTCCCCTTTGCTACAAGAGTTTTACAACATGGGCAGGCTGTTTCCAGCCCTTTCATCAAAAATCAAAGCGCCGCCTGGGAATGACAAGCACTGCCTAATGGTTAGCGATGCTCTTTTTCTGTCTTTCAGGGTTGCCATGGCAACTGCATCCTCTCAAGTTTTGATACCCGATATCAATTTTAACGATGCCTTTGAAAACTTTGCTTTAGATTTTTCCAGAGAGAAGAAATTGCTGGAGGGGCTGGATTATCTAACAGGTTTGTGCCGATTTTGCAGTCTTAAAGGTCTTCTGGGGTTTTTTGTTTCCATATCTTGCTTTGCTGCTGCTTCTTCTTCTTCTTCTTTTTTGCTTTTGCTTTTTCATTTTTCTTTTTCTTTTTTTCCAGCACTCTGGACTTTTATGGATAAGTAGAGAGGATGCAATTTACTTTTGTTCCATTTGTGTCTTGTAACCTCAAGAGTAAAACCTACTTGGTATTTCAAAGGGAATTTATTTCTGTCAGCCCCGAGCAAAAGAGAACAAGAATTGTCACGTAGGACAGCAGATAAGGTTGCCCTGCTGGAAAGTTCACATCAGTAGGGTGTAAATGCACAGCTAGTCCTCACTTAACAACAGAAACTAGGACTGGAATTTCTGTCGCTAAGCAAATGCGCTTGTAAGTGGGAATGTCCCATGATCACACCATTTAGCAATGGAAAATTTCAGCATTTCTGGTCCCCATTATTAAGTGAATCACTGTAGGTCGTTCAACAAGGATCTCACAGGGTGGCCATCTGCCAGCTTCCCAGCCAGCTCCCGACAAGCCAATCAAAGGAGAAAGCCAGGTTTGTTTAATGACTGCATGATTCACTTAAAGGCCAAAATGAATTGCTTAGCAACGACAGCAAGAAGGTTGCAAAATTGGATGCAATAAATTCTTAGCAATGGAAATTCTGCTGCCAATTGTGGTTGTACAATGAGAAAGGAGAGGAAAAAAAATACTACAAAAGAGCTTTGGGATTTGACGGTGTAGGCTAAGATGGTAGTGTCCAGCCCTCGGTAGTAAATACAGCTAGTCCTTGACTTGTGACCAAAATTGAGTCCCACATTTCTGTTGTTAACTGAAATGTTTGTTAAGTGTACTTTGCCCCATTTTATGACCTTTCTGGCCACGTTTGGTAAGGGAATCACTGTAGTGGACAAGTTAGTAACACAGTTGTAAAGGGAATCTTGCTCCCCCAGCGACTTTCCTTGTCGCAAAACGGAATCACATGATCTTGGGACACAGTCATAAGTATGAACCAGTTGCCCAAAGTGCCTGAATTTTAATCACATGATCGTGGGGCTGCTATACAAAGGTCGTAAGTGTGAATCGTGGTCATAAGTTGCTTATAAGTCATAAGTGCTAGGGTGTTGGTGCTAACCAATCTGCAGCAGTTTCAGGCCTTTAAAGCCGACACAGTCAAGAAACAAAACTTGCTAGGAATATTTATCTACTATGTACTTTACGTGCTATGTAACTACATACTTTAATGTGGTTAGGGCAGTGGTGGCTAACCTTTTTGGGCTCCTGTGCCAAAAATTGTGCAAGCGCTTTCACGCTCACATGCCAGCACCCAGAAAGCAATGCGCACCCCCCCCATGCCCCCTATGCATGCATGCACAATCCCCACCTCCCCCGCTGCCCCCTTACCTGTAATGCATCTCACAGGTGATTTTCGGCTGGTTTGAGGCCTTTTTCGGACTACCAGAGGCTTAAGGAAGGCTTCTGCAGGCTTTTCAGGCCGAAAACTAGGCACATTTCGTCACTTCCGGTATTTCCTAGTTTTCGGCCTAAACAGCCTGCAGAAGCTTTCCTCAAGCCTCTGGTAGTCCGAAAAAGGCCTCAAACCAGCCGAAAATCAGCTGTGAGGCATGCACATGCGCAGTGAGGTAAGCTTGCCTGCAGCTCGCGTGCCAGCACAAATGGTTCTGCGTGCCACCTGTGGCATGCGTGCCATAGGTTCACCATCACAGGTTTAGGGTATTATAACAGAACGTTAAAAGCTTGTGACAGGTCCTGTTCATTTTAACGGACGCCAAAGAAAATCAAGATGCTGTTATTTTGAATTTCTTTCTCATGCGCTCTACTTTCCTAAGACTCTGATATCTTTTCTGTAATGACCTGGTGTTGTCCTTCCCCTTTTCTCTGTCGGTCCCACCTTGCATCACAACTAAGGTTGTAAATTTCAGCTAATCCATGCAGTATACCACAAAGGCAAAGGGCACAATGGCTCAGAGGTTAAAGACACGGAGCTTGTCTGACAAGCCTGGGTTCGAAACCCGAGCGTTGCAAGACAGGGTGAGCTCCCGATATTTGTCTCAGCTCCTGCCCACCTAGCAGTTCGAAAGCATGCAAATGCAACTAGATAAATAGGTACCACTTTAGTGGGAAGGTGACAGTGTTCCATGCACCTTGGCATGTAGTTATGCCGGCCACATGACCGCGGAAGCATCTTTGGGCAATGCTGGCTCCCTTGGCTAAGAAACAGAGGTGAGCACTGCTCTTTAGATTCGGACACGACTGGAAAAGGAAACCTTTACCTTTATAGAACAAACATGAATGGTTTCTCATAAGGAGGACAGGAAGCTGCTCACCTCTTGTCTGCTATTGCTTCTACAGCACCCAACCCACCCTCTGTCCGTGAAGAACTTTGCACCGCCTCCCATGACACCATCACTGTCCACTGGATCTCAGATGATGAGTTCAGCGTCGGCTCATATGAGCTCCAGTATACCATCTTCACCGGCCAGGCCAACTTTATCAGTAAGTCACTGTGGGCTAGCCTCTTTCCTCTGCTTCTACTGGTACCCTGATTGAGGTAGGCTACTACTCAACAGTGCCCATTGCTGGAGCGGCCGCTAACTTGAATGAATAGCAATAGCAATCATCTTCTTTTACCGACCCCGTCATCCTTTGTGGTGTGGAGTCCGCGCAACTGAATGGAGCTAGCAGAGTGTTTAATGGCCGGATACCCTTCCTGTCACCAATGCGGAGTTTTGTTCAGCAGATATATTCTTATTGTACCCAGAGAAATACCTGCCTCTACCTAGGATTGAACTCAATAAGACTTATATACCGCTTTACAGTGCTTTACAGCCCTCCCTAAGCAGTTTACAGATTTAGCGTGTTGCCCCCAACAATCTGACCTCAGAAGGATGGAAGGCTGAGTCAATCTTCAGCCGGTCAGGACAGTCAGCAGAGTTAGCCTGCAATATTGCTAAGGTGACCAACCATCCTCCTTTAGGGAAGTTCTGTCCTCCCTCGAAAAGTGCCCTCCTACATGTCCTCCTTTTTGATATTTGAAGACTAATCTGTAAATCTCCGTATTTGATCGATGCCGATCCGATCCGTTGTGTGTGATGTGACGTACTTGTATTTGACATGACGATTCATTAAGGCTCGGTACAGTGCGGCGAGACGCGATTATGAGACGCATGCGCTCCACACAGGAGAATTGTTTTGAGAGAATCTGCCACGCGCAAGAGTGTATCATGCACAAGAGTGCGCCACGCGCAAGTGGCTTCGTTTTTTTCCCTTCAATTTATTTGTGTCCTCCCTCTCATTGTAAAAAAGTTAGTCACCTTAATATTGCATTCTAATCACTGTGCCACCACGACTCTCTGGAATGCTGTTGGGACATGGCTTGCAACTTCAGGTTCATCTTCTCCGTGTCCTGACCAATTAGTTGGAGAGGAAGCAATTGAGATGGGCCCAAATATTTGCTTATCTGAAGGAAGGATTTCCAGGAAAGAAAATGTCTGTATTTTCTCATGCCTATTTTTCAAATTCACTAAGATACTGTATTTGGATATCACTGGAAATTGCTCGGATGAAGAAAGTGTGTATTTGTATTATGGGGTGGGGGATTTTTCCTTTTCTATCCTCAGTTGAACAAGCAATGCTGCATCATTTCTAGGGGAAGCACATTAAAATCTTGGGATTGGATGTGCTTAGAAGCTCTACCCCACCTGCTTCTTTCCACCTCCAAATTTGATTGAGAATCCTTCCTCCAGCTTTCCATCAGCTTGTAAAAAATGTTTAGATCAGGGGTGTCCAACCTTGGAAACTAAGATCCACGGGCTTCATGCTGGCTGGAGACTTCTGGGACTTCTAAATCCTTAAAGTTGTCAAGATCAGACACCCCTGATTTAGATGGTGGGTGATGGAGGCATCACTTGAATACTTCACTCAATCCTTGGAGACTCCGAAGTCTTGCTGTCCTTTGGACCTGCCCCAACTCCAAGGCTGAGAAGATAGGTAGTTCTACCAGTCTGTCTCATCCAAAGTTAATTAGTGGTTGGGTGATTTGTGGGTTGTAGAGCACGAATCCATCAAGGATCTTGGCCTTCACAGTTGTTCAAGCAAGAGTTATCCCTGTCTCCCCAGCGCACCGTAGAGAAGCTTCATCCTCTGTTGCTCTCCCAGGCAGCGGTGTAACTAATCTCTTAATCAGGTTTTCTCTGATAATCCACTGAACTCTCTCAAGGCGCTCTGAGGGAAATTTATGGATGTTTTTCTAGGAGATTTATTGGATTATTGTCCTACATAACTACTTGGCATTTTATAAAAAATATATATATTATGGCTTACTATAATGTAGTATGAGGTGTAGGAGCAAATCTGGCTTGCTAGACCAGGGGTCACCAACCTTTTGGACCTCAAGGACCACCAAACTCATAATTTTAAATCCTGGGGACCGCTAATATGAATTTTGACTGATGGTGGCTTGCTGACATTGGTGGGAGAGAGAGAGAGAGAAAGAGAGAGAGAGAGAGAGAGATCTGATCTAACCTCTCTCTCTCTCTCTCTCTCTCTCACACACACACACACACACCACACAAACACACAGAGGCAGGGGTGGGATTCAAATTTCTTAACAACTGGTTCTGTGGGCATGGCCTAATTTTTGGGTGTGGCTTGGTGGTCATGTGACTGGCTGGGCATGGCTTGTATGTAAATATTATCAACATTTATATAAATATTGAATCTTTTATAAAAACAAGAGCAACTTTTACCCAAAAGCAGGCAAAGCAGGCAAATTCATTCAGAGATCTGTGAGATTGGCTACCTGAGCCTGTCACATAAAATTTGCTTGCAAGCAAACCCATAAAATTTGCCAGCAGGCAAACTCACAAAATTAACTCACAACACACCATGTAGGTAAATATTGAACAGCCTGGGAGGCAGAGAAGAGATGGGGGCAGGGCCAGTCAGAGGTGGGATTTGCCGGTTCTCCGAATGATTCAAAATTTCCGCTACTGGTTCTCCAGAACCAGTCAGAACCTGGGTGGGCGTGGCCAACTCAACATCACTCCCACCCAGTCACATGACACCGCCGCCACCACACCTCCCCAGGTTTTGTGGCTCCCAGTGTTTTCTGTGGGAAATGGGTCTCTCTTCCTCCCTCCCTCCCTCTCTTTCATTCATTTTTTTGTGTTTTACCTTCTTAGGCCTCACATGGAATGATTGGGAGGAGAGTGCGAGGGGCAGGGCCAGCCAGTGGTGGGATCACCCAACAGGGAGCCACAGCAGAGTGGCCAAAGAGCCTCATGCGGCTCCAGAGCCACGGTTGCTGACACCATTTCCAAGATTTCCAAGATCCTTTCCAACCTATTCTATTTCTATTTCTATTATTTATTTCTATTTCTATATTTCTATTTCTATATTTCTATTTCTATAATTCAAGAAGATTGCTGAGGTGTCAATGGAAGAGCTACCAAGATGGTTCAGGCTGGCAAATATTTGCTCGTGTATTTAGAGGCACCTGTTCACACCACATGCACATAAAGGCTATAATTTGTAAACTGGGAATTAGCAGTTTAAACATCTCCTGTTCCTGCATAGGCAATGTTTGTTTTACTTTAGACACCCAAGAAGATCACATTCTCTAAACTGTTTACTGTTTGGGATTAGAGGGTGAAGAAAGGAGGTGTAAAATTAGACTTTGGTGATTTGTAAGAGATGTTATCTCCGGCTTCTCTCTCATATTAAAGCTATCCAGTGAACAGGGCTTGCAAAGTAAGCCAGATAATCCACTTCCTGCACTTAGTTTGCCCATCTTATCTCTTAGTGGCTTTGTTATTTCTGGACTGATTTCCGGCCATAGATCAGTTGGGAGAGGCGTGTGACATTTTTTTTCAAGCCCAAGGCCAGTTCGTGGCCTCTGAGTGTCTTGCACTAAAATGGCTATAGGGAAAGCCAGAGCAGATTTAAAAAGAAAGTATCCTCCTGTGTTTAATTTGCATAACACTCTGTCTGTCTGTCTGTCTATCTATCTATCTATCTATCTATCTATCTATCTATCTATCTATCTATCTATCTATCTATCTATCTATCTATCTATCATCTACTATCAATTTCTTCTCTCTCTGTCTTTTCTCCTCTTTGTCTGCCTCCCTGTCTCTGTCTGTCTGTCTGTCTGTCTGTCTGTCTGTCTGTCTGTCTGTCTCTGTCTGTCTCAGTCTGTCTATCTGGTTCTCTGTCTGTCTGTCTCTGTCTGTCTCTGTCTGCCTCTCTGTCTCTGTCTCTGGTTCTCTGTCTCTCTCTGTGTGTCTCTATGTCTGTCTCTCTCTGTGTGTGTCAGTCAGTCTGTCTGTCTGTTTCTCTCTCTCTCTCTCTCCTGTCTTTCTCTCCCCTCCCTCTCTCTGGTGCTCTCGAAACCTGGTTGTTTTCTTGCAGACATTTCATTACCCAACCTAGGTAACGTCATCAGTGCTAGTAAGGAATGAGTTTGTTTTCAGTTTATATTTTAGTGGCCTGTCCTGCCAGTTTTGGTGGGAGTGATGTTGTTAATGGTTTGTGGATGTTAGACAAAAACCAAGGATCCCTCATTTGAAACCTGAGCTACAAATATTCTCTCTCTCTCTCTCTCTCTCTCTCTCTCTCTCTCTCTCTCTCTCTCTCTCTCTCTCCCCCCTTCCCTCCCTCCCTCCCTCCCTCCCTCTCATCTATCTATCATATATAGTAACTCTCCCATCATGGTTTTCCTTTGGTCAAATTAAACATGAACTCCCAAAAACCTTTGGAGCTCCATGGAGGTTGAGGTGAAGAGATACATACTGTATGGCTCTTAGATCTCAGGATGCTTAGATTTTTCCTATGCAAAGAATCACCATTGGTGAACAGACTATGGGTTCACTTAATCCATACATATCCTGCAGTTGCTCCTGGGATAAGATTAAGCAACCCTCCCCTCTCAATTTACCTCCCTCTTCTGCACACTTTCCTTCTGGGTATAATTTATGACCTTAGTTGGGTCTTCCAAATAAAAGGTTCATAGGTGGCTTCTCTGGATAGGCTACATTTGCCTTCCTGATCTTAGATTTCTATGCAAAATCTATTCAATCAGCTTCAATAATCTCTTTCCGGCCCTACTATACATAGTTTCTCCAAACTGCCTGGTGAGAGATTTAAAGGATCTGAAAAAGATACGTTTGCCTCCTCCTGTTTCCTTGGTTGTTCCTCCTTCCGTCTAGTGATGGATGTAACTTCTCTCTGCATTCCAAAGAGCTGTAGAAGTGGCACAGTATGTCAATGGTTCCAAATAAGCCCCAGGAGAGCTAAATACTTCAAACGAGTAGCAGCTGAGATGAAGAGGAGGTATTGTCTTAGGTACTTGTTCCTCAGACATTGAAAAGCATCAGACTTTCGAATTTTGGTCCGAATAGGTTGTTGTGTGGCTCTAGAAAGAACCTTTTAAAAGGACAGCTGTGTTCTAAACAACTCCCTGCGTTTTCCAGGTCTCTACAATTCTATGGACAGCTGGATGATTGTCCCCAACATCAAGCAGAACCATTACACGGTGCATGGGTTGCAAAGCGGCACACGATACATCTTCCTCGTCAAGGCAATCAATCAGGCTGGCAGCCGAAACAGTGAGCCAGCCAGGCTCAAGACTAACAGTAAGCATTTTCATGGTTGCAACTTTCTTCCTGGTCCAGAGATAGGAGGGGAAAGAGAAAACACATGGGGCAAAGAATGTCTACAACAGGGGTGTCCAACCTTGGCAACTTTGCTGGCTGAGGAATTCTGGGAGTTGAAGTCCACAAGTCTTAAAGTTGCCAAGGTTGGACACCTCTGGTCTACAAGAACATCTTGCAGTTCCTATGAAGGTGTGGGGATGGATTCCAGTCCTTCTTATTCCAGAATGGGGTTTAAGTTTAAAAGGAGAATCCTAGACTTGTTTATGAAAGTTGGCTAACACTAGCTGGGTTTGCACACCAAATTACATTTTTTTTGTTTAAATTTTAATTGGTTTTTAAAAACAAACATAAACAAACAAAACATAAAAACATCAAGCTATCTTCCATAGGTGTACATACAGTGTGCCGGTTGGTTTACAAATTGTTTTGTGCTTCCATTTCGTAGTCTTCAATTACAATTACATTACATATAATCCCATATTGTCAATCAAAAATTAAATACCTTAGCATCATTATTAATCGATCATTTGACTATACTTTTATTCATTCATGTTTTACAAGATAACCATAATTTACTTAATTTATTTTATAACAGTTCATATTATCATCCCAAATCTATCCTAAAATCATTTTGTAGTTATAATAAGAAAGAAGTACATCTTTATATATTTATTATTTTCTCAAAATCTACAGATTTCATTACTGCATACCAAATTACATTAAAATATCATGGAGTTAAGTACTGTGTAGTCCGGGGTGTTGTAGGAAGCCTAGGTATCCCCTTAGGTTCTGCGAAGTGGGTTGTCATGTTTACAGATTACAGATTAACAGAGTTGGAAGGGACCTTGTAGGTCATCTAATCCAACCCTCCGCCTAAGCCGGTGACCCTTCTTTTCTCTACACTGAATTTCATTTTGTTAGATAGGCCCAGTGTTCAAGTCTGTCAAGATCCATCTGGATCTTGAGCCTATTCTTCTAGGGTGTTAGCTATTGCTGCCAGCTTAGTATCATCTGCAAATTTGGTAAGTTCCCCTTCTATTCCCACATCTAAGTCATTAATGAAGATATTGAAAAGTCCTGGGCCTAAGACGGAACCTTGTGGTACCCCACCGCTTACTTTCCTCCATGTAGATGTAAATGTTAGGCATCCAGAAATTATCCTTTTTTTAAAAAAAATCTCCAATTGATTTATTAGGAACAGCTCTGGTACGTCTATGGAAATTTCCAAAACTGAAACTCATTCCCAGCATGTCTCACAAATTCCACTCTATCTCCTCCCACTTACTACACTTCATAATTCACGAGAACCAATTAACTGCAGCCGGAATTTTTTTAATGCTGACATACTAAATAACCTTGAACTGTTCAACTCCCTCACCCCGCTTCATTGTTCACATTTTTCTTGTGGCAGCTGATCTCAGAGCTGACAGTAGACCCATTAAGGACTATTCTTTGAGTAGAGTTTGTCAGCCAGTTACAAATCCATCTGGTGGTGATGCTATCTATCCCACTTTTTTCTAGCTTATTAAGAATTCTTGATAAGCTAGAATTCTTGGTTGTAGTCAATTCTTGGTTGTGGTCTACTCTGTCAAATGCCTTGTCAAATGTTAAGCTATGGTTGGGCACTGCACAGGATCATGCCATGTTGTGGAGTGCAGTGGCTCACACAGTTAGGATGCTGGGTTAGAGGTTAGCAACTCTGTGTTTGACATCTGACTGCAGCTATATGGCTGGGTGACCTGCTGTCATTTGCTCAGACTTCCTGATGGGGACATGAAAGGAGTTCCCCACAGGCATTTTTCACACAACAGTGATGTCTTAAGAAACTATCAATCTCAAGATTCTGGACCACCATTTTGCATTACTTCTAGCCATTGGTCTGGACTGATTCAACCTTGCTGTTTACAATAACTGTAGCAATGTTTTCCGAGGAACCTCAAGGAGATTACATCAGAAGGAATTTTAAAAAGTCTTATCCTGAATCCATAACACAGGGAAATTTATGGAATAAATATTTGCCATTTCTTCACCCCAAATATCACTTATTACCACACTATTCAGGAAGTCCATCCAGGAGGTTTTGGTGAGAGGAGAGAACGACTAGAAAGCTTCCTTTGGTGAACATCTCAAAGTTAACCAGTCTTAGAGGTCCACTGGATTTGAATAATTGCATGAGAGGAAAGAGATGGGCCAGGTGTATGGGAAGAAAGGTCTCGGAGATAGGAGAAGGAAATTGTATCCAGAAATCTATTACCACAAACCAAATTTTAGAGGAGATTTGGACCCAACTTTATTTGGCCTGTAGAAAGTGGGTTTTAATGGATTCCAGGATCCTTCCCACTTTGATATTTCAATTTTTTTCCTATCATCAGTGTTTGACTGGATGCTTAAAATGATTTATTGCCTCCACTGCTTCCATCAACTCCCTGGAAAGCAGAATGTATGTGAAAATAAAAAGCAAAACAAATCTTTTTCTTGTGAGTTGAGGAGAACAGCTCGGCTTTGATGAAAATCTTTTCTTTTTTGCTTGCTTGCTTGTTTGTTATGAAAATGCACCACTCACAGATTGGCGAGGATTTTGAAAAGGGATGAATTGCTGGCTGGCTGGATAAGCTGAGCCTTGGAAAAAGCCTCTCCTTTTGAGGGTATTGACTTGTGTCAATAAATTGCTAGCAAGAAAGGGTTATAGGGGAAAGGAGAGTGTGAGATGGACTGCCTTGTCTGTCACTCAGCTGAGTGATTAGCAGGTGGCCCCAGGCTCCGCATTGTACTGCAAGTCCATTTGTTAAATTAACCAAACACTCAATTGAGGACTCATGACCTGTTAGCCAACGCATGTCAAAGAGGAAGCATAAAGTGGAAAATAAGATGGGGTGGGGGCTTCTGATTGTACCACCAATTTGTAATCAGAGTCTCTTTAAACTTCACCATCTCTCTTTCCTTGACTTGGATAGATTGCTTCTATTTTTAAATCAGTTGCATCTTCCAGCAAGGAATGTATAATAAGACAAGGGTAGTTTTCAGTTTTGAATCCAGGTTCGGAAAAGGGGTCAAAGAGGCCATCTATGTCAAAACTGAACAGCCGTCTCTCAACGGTTCCAAGAAGGCTCCACACCCATTTGCACCACTCAGGTGACTCCGATGACACAGACAAATCTCCAGGTGGCCTCAATGACTTTTTATTTATTTTATTTGGTTTGTCAATTGCTTACAAGATAATAGGTATAAGTAAAAACATAGTTATGAATACATGGATACATATAAGAAAAATAAAAGAAACAATAGGACAGGGACGGTAGGCACGATTGGTGCGCTTGTGCACCCCCGCCTACAGACCACTTAGGAAAGGGGAAACTTTCTAAAAGATTACAAATGACCAGCTGTCTGCAAGGAGTATAAATCCTTCCATTCTCCACCATCCAGTCAGAGCTGAAGAAGCTTTTTGGATGAGAAGTGAAACGTCTTCAGAGAAAAACCAGAAAGTCCAGTTGCCTCTTAGAAAAAATCCCCTTTGGGACAATCATGACTTGGAGGACTGAGACAACCTTCCTATCTGCTGCTGAGTTGTAGCACAACAGTGGAACTAAGGTTCTTCAGAGGGATTAGGTGGGTACTTTGGAAACAAAGACCTTAAATCCTAGATTTCATGGTTCTTTCTGTTGGACCAAGTTTTTAGAACAGAGACACGAGGTGGCTTTTTCAGCAAAGTGGGATTGTCAGCAAGTCACGTGCAAGTTACCTCTTGAAATAGCATTCACGGGGTTTTAATTTTTTTTAATACATGATATTTTTGAAGTCTCGTGTGAAGCCTCCTTGAAAATTACATCCACGGAGAAGTAACTGGGGGGATTGGGGATGTTTGGCCTTATTGGAAGAAATATCCATCAGGTTCAATTCCAAGCCAGGAGAAAGGCACTGGAAACATGGAGGCTGATTGGAAAGAGGGTTTAATGATGAAGCAGAACCACCAAGCACATGTGATTCTGGGTAGCTGACCACATGGAGTTGAGAATGAGGGGTTTTTATACCTTCTCTTGGCCTTTGCACTTGAACTTCCTGTTCCTGTGCAAGAACATGTATCCTATTGTCTATTGTCAGACTCCCATGGAGCCATGTACAAATCCTAGGCGTTTGTCTGAGCTAAGCTTGGTTGAAGTTTGGCTGATGCAGTGAAGGGGCTTGTGTTCTGAAAGGGTGTTGTGGCTTAATGTCTTTCCTTCTGAAGGATAATTCCATCATCCTGGACCTGAAGGTCTTTGCTAACGGGCACAAAATATTGGGGCTATTAAGAAAGTGGGGGTTGCTTTAAAAAACATGTTCCTCCATTTCTCCCTTTGGGAAATCTAATATTTTACCTTTTTAATATTTTTCCGAAATATTTCATTCTACCAGGAGAGGGGTGGGTGCTAACTTTCTACAGTCTTGAGATAGGAAGGCAGAAGACGGGACATTGTAGCGTGTGAAAGGAAGCCAGCTTGAAGTCCAAATTGTGTTCTGTATCCTCTCAAAGTATAGGACAAGGAGTAGAGCCTTAAATTACCGGAAGATGCCTATGCAATGTTAGGAACAAGTTACCCAGAGCAGTGATGGAGTTCTCCTCTTCTGTGACCATGTCCAGCGAAAAGCTGGAGAGATACTTATGACGAATGGTTTAATGTGGACCCCACCTGAGATTCCAGGGGTGAGACTGCGAAAACATTGCAATATTTCCCACCTGTATAATCAGGCGTCAATACTACTGAGCAATGTTCCCATCTGTTTGCAAAACATAAGTTCTCCTGCACTCCAGGCAGTTTCTAAACACACTTAGAAAATCCGGAATATTATAAAAATGCAATTAAAGGAGTGGGGGAGATAAATAAACATGCAAGAGCGCTCTTTCCCAAAAGCTCCTTCAGAGCGTAGAGTCTGACAGCCTTCCTGAACTCCAACAAAGATGTGCTTTGACAGACTTCAGCTGAGCTCCGCTTCTGCTGGGGAATAACAATTGATTGGTTATGTCATTCCTCTCGCTCCTCAGCGTATATGTTCCTGTCAAATACTCTTCAGAATTTTCCTAAACTTGGGTTGAGGTCAACTCCATAACTCTGCAGAGCTGGCGAGTGAACTTGGTTCGTTTCAGGTTCGGCCAGGTTTATTGTCACCTGCAGGGTATCCAGAATTGATATTCAAGAAGTCCCTACGGCAGACACAGATTCTCAAAACCCACTGGGGGTCTTCATCCCTCTGTTGTTTTTACTTCTCAGATAGGCACAACTGTCAGCTCTGAAATTCATTGCTGTCATCAGTGCTGGGAGGGAAGTGATGTAATGGCATGGTTTTTTTAGTATGAAAAAAAAATGAGTTTGAAAGTCAAGGACACGGAGAGTGGCCGTAGTAAAAAATTGTACATGCAAGATAATTGGTTCACGTGAGTAATGAGGTGTGAAAGTGGGTGGAGGTAGGTGGAATTTTATGGGAGGTGTGCCAGTAGTGAAATTCCACCAGACGATACCAGTCTTTTTTGTTCTGAATAAAGCTTTGAGATTATGCCTGTCTCGGAGTTAATGTTTCACTTCAGGAGAACCAGTTGTTAAGTTTCTAAGCAGTTTGGTGAACTGGTTGTTGGAAGAAATCATTAGGGCAGAGAACCGGTTGTTGAATTATTCCAATCCCGCTACTGCATTGTGGGCTGGATCCAGCCCTCGGGCCTTGAGTTTGACCCCCCTGATCTAGATAGATTGCAAGATTTCTTCCAGTTCTACAATTCCGTGCAGAATCTCCTTGTCTTCTTTTCACAGCATTAGCTGTTCCAATGCTCTGGGAAATCCATGCTTGAACTAGGCTGTCTCCTGGCATACCAATAGCCCCCTTGAGTTATTGCAGTTTATGGCCATTAATGCTTGCCATGTGGTTGCTTGCAAGTAGTTAACTACAACGGAAACAATTCTTCCCCTTCCCTTGCCTCTTTCATTGTGAAATAAATCATGGCGGGCCATCTATTAGAAAGGGATCTTTCTGCAAAATAAATAACTAAATAAATAAAGCACCGGCAGTGTCCAGCTTTTCGTAAGTGGAAGCACAAAGAGAATGCAGCTTGATACATTTGTTGACAATAGCTTGCTCAGCCTGCATAGAGCAGCATAGAATTGGCTTTTAATGCCATTTTTGATGTCCACGATAAGCTGATTGACAGTGGATTTCAGCTCTCTGTACTTCCTTCCATCAACAACGATGCAAAGATTCTCGTACTGTTGAGACAACCTTGCAGCGGAGCTAAGAATTTCTTGTGCAGATTATAGATCTGTCTGGACTTTGATGATTCAATAGAGCTTCGGCTGCTGATGCTGTTCAGTAACATCAGAGGATGATGGGAGGCTTAGAGGAAAGGAGACGATCTTTCTGGGCAAGTTTTCCCAGTCTTGAGAATCATGCACTGGGATGAACAAATTTACAGATTCACAGAGTTGGAAGGGACCTTGGAGGTCACCTAGTCCAACCGTCCCGCCCAAGCAGAAGACCCTACGCCATTTCTGTCAGGTGCCAGCCCAGTCTCTTCTTGAAAGCTTCCAGGGATGTTGAAGCTCCCACAACTTCTGTTCTTTACAGATTAACAGAGTTGGAAGGGACCTTGGAGGTCACCTAGTCCAACCCCCCCACCCAAGCAGGAGACCCTACGTCATTTCTGTCAGGTGGCAGCCTAGTCTCTTCCAGAAAGCTTCCAAGGATGATGAAGCTCCTACAACTTCCAAAGTTCGACCTTTTCCATCAGAGAAAGGGATTCTGCCTGTTGAACTGCAGCCTGGCAGAGCTTCCCTCAACCCAGGGGGAGAGGGGGCTTCGTCCTTTCCTCTGCCCCTCCCCTCCACAACAATGTCCCATGGGGGAGGGGGCATCATAGCAGCCCCCATCCTCACGGAGGGGATCGACCCAACTGCCCACCTTCCTTTGCCAGACACACACACAAACTTACCCCAATGCACTGAAGGGCAAGCGAAGCTGGGGGGGGCACGGGATACAGACAGCCCCTCCACAGCCACATCTTCCTCGCCCTACAGCCGGAGATCGACATGTCATTGTCAGCATGGAACAAAACTGATTTACAGCTTTTGATTGGTGTCTGCAGCCAGAGCCATCCGTGTGAGGAAAAGGCCCTTGAATCCAACCATCCATCAGTGGTGGACAAAAAATTTTTTGAAGCCACGAGAGCACGCTTTCCTCTAAAATATAATAATAAGTGTTTTTGCTGTGCGGAAAGACTGGCATTGAGGCTGTGGGGAAAAAGATTAAATATTACACTGTTATTTTCTGCACCTCTATCAGGTTATTATACCAGATAGCTTAGGTGGAGTTAGCTCTCCCCTACAGTATGCCTGAAAAATTCACAGAATTAGATTCCATTATTGTCTTCCCTGCTTCGCCAGATCTTATTCTTCCATTTCTGCCTCTTCAAAACCTCACCTGGGTTGTCTTGGAGCTGATCTGGAATATGAGGCATGCTAGTTAATTGGGAAATTAAGCCCAGTTTCCAACGGGACCATTTCTGCTGAAATCTCAAAGGGCTGTTTGGAGAATTAAGTTCCTTTTAATTGCATGTTGCAAGCCAGGGTAGCTACCGGTTTAGAAACACATCGGTGAGAAAAATGGGTCACTTCAGGGACATAAATCTTACTGTCCACGTGCTTCTAGCGATGTAGATGATCTGAGAGCTTTCTTGAGCCATTGTGGGTTCTTCTGGAGGAGGAAGTTATGTGTTATATTGAATGCTATAATCTTAAAGGTATACATTGAAGCTTAAATAAGAGTTTGAATGGATAAAATTAAAGGATATAAAGGTGTCATACTCCAATTGGTAACTACAGGGAAAAATTTGCTTAATAAGAAAAGATAACGTGAAATTGAAACAGGACAGACAAAAGTATAAATATAATGATTTGAATTGAGATGAGATAATTAAAAGAAAGTTGAGAAAATTAAAAGAGGGGAAAAACTATGTAGAAAATATAAAATGGTAATAAGATATGGAATAGAATATAAAAATGAGCATGAAATTGAGTTTTGTGTCTGTATGAAGAAGTGATAACCTGGGACCATGCTGTTTTCAAAAAAGATGTTTTATTTGTATTTTGTTTTTGTGAAAACCCAAATAAAATTTTCAAAAAAAAAAAAAAAAATTGGAAAAAGGCAAAGGCAAGATTTTGATTCCTAGGGGTTTTTTAAAAAGTTAAATATTTCGCATTACCAAAATGCCAAGCAGAACAAACATATTATAAAACTTGCAACCAGCTCTCCTTTAAAAGTTGTAACCTCCTGAGCTCATGGGATCATGATTTGCAACCTTCTCAGCTGGTTCCCAACAAGCAGCATCAATTGGAGAAGCCAGATTTGCTTAATGACCACTGTAGAAATGGTTGTAAAATTGGATCTGCTCACATAATGACTCACTTTAGCAACTGCATCACTTAGCAATAGAAATAGCAGTCTCAATTGAGGTTATAAATTACGGATTACTTGTAAAACAATTTTCTCATAATGCCCATTTACTTTTATGTACCCTTTTATAATTCTGATTTGTTTCTTGGAAATGACTATACACCTAATGAGAGAAAATAAGAATTAGGAAGCTTCCTGCCTTCTATTGCTCATTTAAACCCTTCCCTCTTTTCCTGCAGAAAAATAATTAACATGGATTTTGTCCAGCTAGAGTTTGGTGGTGAGAGCCCGAATTCACAGTCCTTATTTATGTAACTCCTATTTTTTTTTATGTTTTCAGTTGCTTTAATTATTATTGTCATTGTTAAGGAATCGGGCTCCTTTTATAGAATTGAAAAAACAAACAAATCATTGCACAAGAACCTGGCAAATTTGGGGGTGGGGTGAGGAGGGAAATGATTTTGATTGGGTTGACTTTCAATCTTTGCTTTCTGTTCCTGCAGGCCAGCCTTTCAAGTTGGACCCTAAAATGGCTCATAAGAAGTTGAAGATCTCCAATGATGGGCTTCAGATGGAGAAAGACGAAAGCTCCTTGAAAAAGAGTCACACCCCCGAGAGGTTCAGTGGAACAGGCTGCTATGGGGTCACGGGGAATGTTTTCATTGACAGTGGATGTCATTACTGGGAGGTGACCCTAGGAACCTCCACTTGGTAAGTGGGCTGTGTTGGGTAAGAGTGGGCTCCCCTAATGGGTTGCATGGATTGGTCAAGGTTCTGTATTCTCTCCCTTCCCCAAGTTGATTCAAAAGAGTACAGAAAACCAGTGCAATGCAAGAGATTCAATGCCATCAGTGGTAGATCCAGTGGTACCTCTGTTTTCTATCACCAAAATGTTAGATTAGAAAGTATAATTTGAATTTGAAGGCTTCCTTAAGTGGGCTGTGACCATGAAAGCTGATGGGAGAAAGCATTTGGCTGGCATTTCAGAGGCCATGAGACTCTTGTTACTTTAGTTGTTGATGATTGGAGTGTCAGGATGACTTTTTCAAAACGACAGCAAGATAGTGGTTAATGCCTCTTCTCATAGCAATGAGAATTTGTTTGCTTGCTTATTTATTTATCATATTTTTAACTACCCACCTTTATTCAGAGAGGGGCTCTGGCTGGTGTACAACATAACGAATAAAATGAACATTAAAATAAGAATAAATTAATATTAAAAAAAACTTTTAGAATTATAAAAAAATAACATAACATTTCAAAAGGTGGAAAATTCCAAAATGGGGGAGGGGTTCTCATGGGGTCAGACAGCCCCACAGTTAGGGTTTTGCAGGAAAGCTTCTATTCGTTGCCTCTCTCCTCCTGCTATTGGCTCTACTCAGTAATGATGTTTGTATGGTGAGTTTAGTCATGATAAACCAAATTAACTCTACACTAGGGTAAAGTAGAGTTGGGTACTTTGTGGTTCAGTATGTGGTGTAAATAACCCTTACAAAGTGACATAGCATTTATAGAATAGACACCTGTAAAGCAAGATTATTTCAGGACCATGGAGAGCTCTTTGTATGGAAGGGTATGCTACGGTAGTTTAACTTGGAAGAAGCTGTTGTTTTAGTATTGGCCTTTCACCACAAAGGTCTGAAGGAAACTGAAGACTCTTCAACTCCTTTCCTGCTAGCTGCTGGTTCAGGATAAAAGCTGTGCCCCTTTCTGAAGTCTTAAACTTTTCCCAGGTTAAACATAAAACATCTAAACATCTAAAATGTCTAAAACCTGTGAAGAATGGTTGCAAGAATTGGGTATGTTGAGCACTTCTTTTGAATTGGGCAACCTAGCGCTCATTTTCCTGTAGGCCTTTTTGGCCTCCTGAATTTAAGGATAGTTCACCACCATCCCTTGATAGAAAACTCTTACAGAGTTTTTAAGGGGGAAAAGAAGCTGTTGAACCCTTGCCCAGTAGAGTAACAGGAAGAATCTGTCCCACATTCACTGCAACAGAATTAGAGATTTCATTGCTAGGTAGGTTTTCAGGAAGAAAAACTCTCTCCCTCCCTCCCTCCCCCCCTCTCTCTCCCTCTCTCTCTCTCTCTCTCTCACACACACACACACACACATACACTCTCTTTCACTCACTGTCTCTCACACTCACTCTCTCCCTCTTTCTCTCCCTCCCTCCCCCTCTCTCCTTCTCTCTCTCTCACACACACTCTCTCTCTTTCTCTCACTCACTCTCTCTCATACTCACTCTCTCTCTCTCACACACACACACCCTCTCTCTCCCTCTCTCTCTCTCTCTCACACACACACACACACTCTTTCTCTCACTCACTCTCTCTCTCTCACTCTC